TCCTAACATAGATCGAAAACTTTTTTGCAATCAATTTCTGTTAGTTGCCACCATGATTGAACCTACCAATCATATACGAAACTGGAGGTTCAATCGGCCATAGATTATTTGCATTGAATGAGCAAGGGGCCCTTCTTGCTTAATCAATAAAAATAATCATCACAGTTAATCGCAGAAAATATATGAATACCCATAAACAATGAACTGACATAAGAATCAATTTGATCTCACAATGTTTAAAGAATCAAAGCTTCCCTAACCCTTCAATCAGAAATAAAAACTTACAGACACTCCATGATAAAATTGCAGTATCCAGATGAGAGGGGGGCGAACTCTGCTTTTTCCTCATTGGTTGTTGATGTCTCTCTCTGAAGGCTGAAGCTCTTTTGGAGGATTTGATGGCCTAGGTGCTAGTCCGCCCCCCTTTTTATAGCTTTAGGAGGGAGCTGTCTCCTGCTCCTTTAAGGAGTTCTTTCTCCTTTGGGAGATCAGTTATCTAATAGATAATGCTTAGATTAGATCTAGTCTATCCTTATCTCTTATCTGGTAATCCTAATCTTCTTTTATCTTTCTAGAAATACAATAGGAAATTGGATCTGATAGGATTCTTTGATGTTTTTTATTCTTGCATTCGTATTGGGCTTCTTTAGCGAATTGGGCCACCACAAGGATTCTCTGCGAACTGGGCTTCAGCTGCGAAATGGGCTTCAGTTGCGAAATGGACTTCAGTTGTGAAATGGGCTTCTTTGGGAATTTGCTTAGAATTCGGGCCCAATTTTGACCTCAATGCAGTTCGAATATATCAAAACTCAAAACATGAAAGTTATAGAGTTTTTCCTTATCTTTCCAATTCATCTTGAATCATCTCAATCGGAGTCCGGATGGGAGAGTTATGCCCAAATTATCTCGCGGTGCCGAAACTATGTAAAATTACCCGATTAACCTTGTTTTTCCCCTGACACCTTTTTTCATGCCCTAAATCGAAATACAAGAATAGTGAGTCCAATTAGGTACTAATTAAGTATAAAAGACTGAATATTGATGGATAAAAATATGATAATTTTTATTCTCATCAAATCCCCCCACACTTAAACCTTGTCCGTCCTCGGGCAAGACAAAATTCAAGCAAAAATAAAACAAGAACAGACTAAATATCCTACCAATCTTTAAACTCAACTCTACTTCATCTTTTTCCACAAATATTCTAGGTTAAATATTGTGAACCGTTAAATCAACACAACCAAGTCATACACGACTCATTCATCAGTCAATCCAATTTTTGTTACTGCAAACCAGGTAGTAAATCAGGGAAAACCTTTTTATCTTATCTCTTTTTATTTTCTTTTTCTCTCATCTGAAGAAGTGAGTGCATTTTATGCTCCATCTCACTTTTGGGTTATTCGGCCAGTAGGTGCATTTTATGCTCCGTCTTACTATCAGATGACTTGGCTGGTAGGTGCATTTTATGCTCCATCCTACCATCGGATGACTTGGCTGGTAGGTGCATTTTATGCT